GGCCAGGCCGGGCGCTGCGGCTCACGCCTGTGATCCTAGCTCTCTGGGAGGCCGAGGTGGGCGGATTTCTCGAGGTCAGGAGTTCGAAACCAGCCTGAGCAAGAGCGAGACCCCGTCTCTACTCAAAATACAAAGAAATTAATTGACCAACTAAAAATATATATAGAAAAAATTAGCCGGGCATGGTGGCGCATGCCTGTAGTCCCAGCTACTCGGGAGGTTGAGGCAGGAGGATCGCTTGAGCCCAGGAGTCTGAGGTTGCTGTGGGCGAGGCTGATGCCACGGCACTCACTCTAGCCTGGGCAACAAAGCAAGACTCTGTCTCAAAAAAAAAAGAAAAGAAAGAAAGAGGGGCCGCAGCTCCTGCTCCCATGAACTAGGGGGCAGGGTTCAGGGTTCAGGGGGCGGGGACCGGGATGGGGGGATGGGGGTGGATAAGACAGAGAGGTGACATGGGATTGCTAAGGGGCCAGATGCAGGGTCTCCAGCTGCTGGGTGGAGGCTCGAGGGCGGACAAGGAGGGTCCAGAGACCCCAGGTCCTCCTGCGGTTGGAGAGGAAGCAAGGCCAGGTTGGAGTCCAGGCTGGCCAGGTGGCCTCAGGTAATGGCTCCCTCCCCCAGCAGCCTAACTCTGTCCCATCTCGGTGCGTGGACCTCCAGGGCCACTGGCTTCTTAGCTCAGGGACCAGCCTGCTGCTTCAGCAGCCAGGCGGGGGGCGCCGGGGGCAGGTGGGCCCCACAGCCCAGGTGACCCTGCAGGCCACTTGCCCCCTCCCCCACCCCCCATCCCTCCTGCCCCACCCCTGCTGGTGGTGACTCACGGTTTTCCATTTTCTTTCTTTTTTTTTTTTGAGACAGAGTCTCACTGTGTTGCCCAGGCTAGAATGAGTGCTGTGGCGTCAGCCTCGTTCACAGCAACCTCCAACGCCTGGGCTCGAGCGATCCTCCTGCCTCAGCCTCCCGAGTAGCTGGGATTACAGGCATGCGTCTCCACGCCCGGCTAATTTTTTCTATATATATGTTTAGCTGGCCGATTAATTTCTTCCTATTTATAGTAGAGATGGGGTCTCGCTCTTGCTCAGGCTGGTCTGGAACTCCTGACCTCGAGCGATCTGCCCGCCTCGGCCTCCCAGAGTGCTGGGATCACAGGCGTGAGCCACCGCGCTGGGCCGAGGCTCTCTGTTTATGTCACAAGCATTTACAGAGCACCTACTGAGTGCCGAGGGCACAGCTGGGAGCCAGGCAGACCTGACCCTGTGCTGGAGGGACTCGCGGGCAAATAATCATGACAATAAGAGTGACATTGAACCCGTGACTGGATGGTGCTCTGAGAGCGTTTCTCTAGCGAGTCAGGGAAGGCCTCCCATAGGGGATGACTGTCCAACTGTCCCTAAAAGATAAAGCATTCATGGGGGGGAGCAATCGGGCACAGGCCGGGACGTGGGTGGGAATGAGCCCGGCTGACCCAAGGAACAGGGAAGAGTGGGCTGAGAGAAGCGAGCCAAGACCGGCCACATGGGGACTCCGGGAGGTATGAATTCAAATCTGAGGGCAATGGGGAGCCATGGGAGGGTCTAGAGTGCGGCAGGGTATGATTTGACTCATGTGAACACCCTCAAAGGCGGCTCAGCCCCCACCCTCCTGGCCCTGCTGGAACCCTCCCTGGGGACTAGGGCAAGTCTCTTTCCTCTCCCAGTATCAGTTTAATCATCTGTAAAATGGGCATTTTCTTTTTTAAGACAGAGTCTCGCCGTGTTTTCCCTGGGCTGGCGTGCAGTGGTGCCATGGTAGCAACCTTGAACTCCTGGGCTCCAGCGATCCTCCTGCCCCGGCCTCCCCAGTAGCTGAGACCGTAGGCAGGCGCCCCCGTGCCCGGCTACTTTTTGTGTATTTTATAGAGATGGGGTCTCAGTGTTGCCCAGGCTGTTCTCGAACTCCTGGCTCAAGAGAGCCTTCTGCCTCTGCCTCCCAAAAGGCTAGGATGTCAGGTGCGGGCCAGCACACCTGGCCTAGAATGGGCATTAAAGCGCCCTTTTTTTTTTTTATCTCTCTGGAGTCACCAGGCAGCAGAGGAGGAACGCGCCTGCCCAGGGAAGGGACACTCAACTCTAACGGGGAAACCGAGGCAGTGGTGTCCCAGGCGGGCCGGAGAGTGCTGGGCCCCTCCTCCGCCCATGTGGCGCCGCAGGGACAGGGCCAGAGCCAGAGCGGGTCCTCCGCCGCTGTCCTTCCGCTTAGGTCCCTCACCTGCAGGGCCGGGGCCTCCCAGGGTCGGGTGGCGCCAGCCTTGGGTTCTGAGTCCCGGCTCTGTGGCTGTTTCTCCACGGGAAACGCTGCTAGTTGGCACGTTCCTGTTAGAACTGCCAGCGAAACATCGAAATCCATCAATTAAACATGGGCGGGAAAACTATTGGTGAGATGTCACTGTGGGGCAGCCCTGCGCCTGGGCTGGGGGGGGCAGGGGGGGCGTAGTGAATTGGCACGCTCAGCGGGAGCAGGCACAAGCGCGGAGGGGGGGCTGGCCTTGCAACTTACCGCTGTGTGTCCTTGGGCGAACTGCCACGCCACTCTGTGCCTCAGTTTACCCATCCTCCAACTGGGAATAGCAGTCCCCACTTTATAGACATCCTCTGAGAATCAAATGACTTTTCCATTCACAGCCTTGCTTCAGCGCCTGTGCTGTTGGACACATTGCCGTTTGTTCATTGCTTTCATCCTGTATCTTCCTCTGCTGCTGTGCGCTCTGCCTTGCTGGTGTTCCCTTCCTTTCTCTTCCTTCTTCTCCTCCCTCCCTCCCCTCTCTCGTTCTCTCTCTCTCTCTCTCTTTCTCTCTCTCTCTTTCTCTCTCTTCTCTCTCTCTTTTTCTGTCTTGCTTTCTTTCTTCTTCTCTCTCTCGTCTTCTTTCTTTCTTTTCTTGACAGGAGTCTTGCTCACTGTTTGCCTGGCCTGGAGTGGTGCTGTGGCATGTCAGCCTCTCCACTCACGAGCAACCTCAGACGCCCTGGGCTCAAGCGATCCTCCTGCCTACCTCCTGATAGCTGGGATTACCAGGCATGCGCACGATTGCCCGGCTATAATCTTTTCTATGTGTATTTTAGTGGCCAATTAATTTCCTTTTCTAGTTATAGTAGGAAGACGGGTCTCACTCTTGCCTAGCTGGTTTTGAACTCCTGCCTGAACTTGAGCAATCCGCCCATCGGCCCTCACAGAGTGCAGACCCGTGCCCTACATTCAGCGCTGTCATTTATTCATTCAACAAACCGCTGGAAGAGGATTTTTACGAGTGTTAGAAAGAACATCAAACTCGAATAAAGCCAGTAGAGTGCCGGGTGGTGGGGTTGCCATAAACGTTGGCTGACAGGGAGCAACCGGACCATTCCCGAGGAGGTAATCTTTTGCGCCGACGCGCTCAAAGAGGAGAAGGAGCCACGACCAGGGGAGAGCTGCAGAACAGTAATCCCAGGCACTTCTGGGAGCCGAGGCTGGAGGATTGCTCAAGGTCACGAGTTCGAAACAGGCCTGAGCGAAGAGCGAGACTTTCATCTCCTACTAAAAAGATACAAAGAAATTAGCTGGCCGGGTGCATGCTCACCCCTGTAGATTCCTAGTCTCTGACGAGGCCGAAGCATGGGATCACTCAAGGTCAGGAGTTCGAAACAAGAAGCGTCTGACGAGACACCGTCTCTACTAAAAAATAGAAAGAAATTAAATGACCAACTAAAAATATATACGAAAAACTTAGGCCGGCGTCCTGCCCGTGGCGCGCAACATGCCTGATCCCAGTCTACTCGGGAGGCTAGGCAGGAGGATCGCTTGAGCCAGGAGTTGAGGTTGCTGTGAGCGAGCTGAGCGCCATGGCACTCACACATTAGCCCAAGCAACAACGCTGAGACTTGTCTCTAAAGAAAACAAAAGACAAGAAATAGCTGGACAACTTAAAAATATATTACAACAGGTAAAATGAGCCGGGCGTGCGGCGCAGGTGGCGCATGCCTGTAGTCCCAGCTACTCGGGAGCTGAGGCAGGAGGATCGCTTGAGCCCAGGATTTGGTGAGGCTGAAGCCATGGCTCTGTCTCAAAAAGAAAAAAAAAAAGAACAGAAATGTTTGTGGCACGAATCTATGACTCACGAAGGCCTCAGGTGAACAGTGGGCGCTTTATTCGCTCCGGCACTGCCCTCCCCAGGGCCCCAGCGCCACCGACAGCTGCCCCCGCTGCCGTTCGACTCCGCGCTGGCGGGAGATGACCTATCTCACAGACTCCTCGGAGTATTAATATTATAACGCTATATGAGCATTCGCTCTAGTTCGTCCTTTCCTATTGGTGACGTCGTTCTTCTCTCCCAATGCCTCTCTCGCACCTGTTCACCGATGACACCTCCTCCACTTCTGGAACTGGAGTTCTCGCTGGCTGGGGAGAACTCGACGGCCACTGACCACAAGCCGATGAAGCCAGAACAGACACCAGCAAACACACGGTCACCACCACGCCCGGGTTCCTGCGGGACTCAGGGGCCCCAGCGTGGTCACCTGGGGCTGGAAAAAGGAGCCTCGAGTCAGCCCTGGGACCCGCCCCTCCCAAGTCTGGGACACCCACCGGGCCCGGAGCCTTTTACGTTGGTCGTGCGGTTGGCTCACGCTCTGTAATTCCCAAGCACTCTGGACGCAGGCCGAGGCCCTATGTGTCAGGTGATTTCCAGGCTGGCTTATCTTTATTTGCCCACGGCGCTGGGCCAGGGTCCAGTGACATAAAGGTCAATGGCAGTCTACTGCCAGACATCAACTACCAACGTCTACGTGCAGTCAAGAGGTGACTGACCTGCCTCTGACTTTCCTGATACGCTGACAATACAGCAATGAAACCGGACACACACAGCTTCGCTAGACATAATAAATATTTTGCTATTATTATAGAAAAAATGAGCCAGGATTTTAAGATGGTTCTTGCTAGCCGTTGCCCAGCTGCGTGTCCAATCCTGGCCTCAAGTGATGCTGCGCGCGATGGCTGTCCTCCCAGCCACAGCTACGGTGCGAGAGTGGACAGCAGTGTATCAGCAGTTGTAGAAGCCACACGGAGAGCAGACGCCGTGTCTTGCGCGGTGTTGATGCCTGGTGAGCTTGCGAAGGAGGCCTGAACTCTGTGTGCCTCGGTTTGCTCTGACAGTGGCCACCGTAAGCCTCCCAGGCAGAGATGACAGCTCAGTTACCGTGCTCCAGTGTCTGCACCAGGCCTGTCCCAGCAGCCTCTGCCCCCTGGGGACGTCTATAATTAGGACTGGCCCCAGCAGCTACAGATGGTATTTTCGTCTTGGAGCCTGCGAGGTCCAGTTCCCACCAGGGGTCTGGTTGCAGGGGTGTGGGGGCTTGAGGGGGGGGGTCCCTGGCTGGACCCCTGAGACCCAGCTCCCGGCCTCTGTTTTCTCACCTGCAAGATGGGAGGGTGGTGTTTCCGGCCTCCGTGGGGCTGGCTCGGGCTCCCAAAGTGCTGGGATCACAGGTGTGAGCCCCTGCACCTGGCCTTGCCTTCCATTTTATGCCTGTGACTTCAGGGGAGGGCCTGAACCTCTCTGTGCCTCAGTTTCTCCTTGGGGACATGGGCCCACCGTAAGCCCCTCCCACAGTGGTGCAGCAGCGTCAAGGCTTGTGTCTTGGGTGCCCAGGACTGGAACAAACCTGGGCGACTTTTCCCTGGGGGCACCAGGGCTGACCAGGCTCCCCTCCACCCCCCAGGCCCAGGGTGGGTGGGGGCGGGGCTGGGGCTCATCCCACGGCAAGGGGCGTGGTCAGGTGAGCTGAGCCGGGGCCTGCCACAGGAATGTTCCGGATCCTTCCTCCAGGTGACACCCGAGGGGCTCAGCTTCCTCTTCTGCGGAGTGGGCGGGGCCAGCTCACCGCACAGGCTGCGGCTGCCCCGCACCTGCGGCCCCTCCCCAGCCCCGTGGGGCCTGGCCAGGCCGGGGAGGCAGCTGAGGCTTCCCAGGGCGGAAGGCCTGGCGCGGGCGGAGCGCGGATGTTTGTCCATAGAGACGGGGTCTGGGGAATGTCAGAGCAGGCGGGATCGCGCGGGGACGAGGCCGGGTTGGAGCTCTGCCGCCCTGCCCGGGAGACTTGTGCCTGTCACCGCATCTATCTGTCTAGGCCTCAGTTTCCCCACCTGGCAAAGGATTAAGAGTTTGTGGTTTCTGAGCAGCCCTTGGGTGTCTCTGGGCCTCAGTTTGCCCATCTGGAAAACGGGCAGAGGAAGGTCGGGAACTCTGGGTGGGCTCTGGGCAGCCCCCTGGCAAACTCCATGCCTCGGTGAGCCCCTGACAGTGGGGGCAGGGAGGCTGAGTTCCCCGGGGCACCTCCCCTTCCAACTGTCTCATCTTAACCCTTTCTTTCTTTCTTCTTCTTTCCTTCTTTCTTCTTTCTTTCTTTCTTCTCTTTCTTCTTTCTTTTCTTTCTTTTTTTGAGACAGAGTCTCACTCTGTTGCCCGGCTATGGTGCCGTGCTCAGCCTCGGTCACAGCAACCTCCAACTCCTGGGCTCAAGCGATCCTCCTGCCTCAGCCTCCCGAGTAGCTGGGACTACAGGCACGCGCACCATGCCCGGCTCATTTTTTTATATTTTTAGTGTCCAGCTAATTCTTTCTATTTTAGTAGAGACGGTCTCGCTCTTGCTCAGGCTGGTTTCCAACTACTGACCTTGAGTGATCCTCCTGCCTCGGCCTCCCAGAGTGCTAGGATTACCAGCGTGAGCCAGCGCCGGCCCCCGCTCATCTTAAGAGTTTTCGGCCATGGTAGCCCAGCAAGCTGCACTAACAGGAGACATGCAGAGGAACGGGGCGTAGGACCCAGGTTCTGGGCCCCAGTGGGGAAAGACGGGGTGTAGAGAGTTGCATCTGACTGCCTGCCTCAGTTTCCCCGTTTGTCCCGGTGGTCGTCATTAGGGACCGGTGCAGGGCGGAGCGGGCGTGCGCGCTCTGCCCCTCCGCGGCCGCCCCGCGGCTGTCCAGAAAAGGCCCCGCGCCGCCCGCGCGCGCCGGTCCAGCATCCCCGTCCTGGCCATGCAGGGCCCCGCGGCGCCCCCGGCCCTGCGCCCGGCTCCCCCCGGGGCTCCCCGCGCGGCTCCTCCGGGCTCTTCAGGAAGCTCCAGGTGAACCAGAGCATCCGCCTGCAGCGGCGCTTCACCCTGGCCCATCCGCTGTGGTGAGGCTGGCCGGGCTTGCGTCCCGCCCCGGGCGGCGGTGGGGGGTGGGGGAGGCAGGAAGGACACAGTGGGGACAGCTGGCGCCTGGCCCGGGTCGGGGCACGGACGCTGTGCCCCTCCTTCCGTCTCTCGGGGTCTGTCTCCGCTACCCTGTCTCTGTCCCTTGCGCTGGGTGGCTCTGTTTCTAACTCGGTCCCGTCGTCCCGCCGTCCGGACACACGCCCAGGGGACCGGCCCTCTGTCCCTTCCCAGCTGCGCGGCCCAGGGCAGGACGGGCTGAGGCTCACGTCTCCTCCTGGCCCGGCCTCGGGGGCAGGCGGCCGCGCGTCCCTGCGGTGGGAAGAGGGGAAGGGGGCGTTCCTCCGCCGCCGCCGCCACCCCGCCCCAGCGCCCAGGCGACCTGCGGGCTTCGCAGCGAGTCCTGGGTGCCCACGGAAGAAGACCTCTTTCGATGCGGGCTTTGGGGACAGTGCCTCAGAGTTCAGCAGGGCCGAGAGCGGACCCGCGCGCCCCGAGCGCCCACTTCCCGCTGCTCCCTTCCCGGGACTCTGTCCGCGGCTCTGGGTTCGAATCCCCCACCCTTTGAGACCCCGGCCACGACCTCGCGGGGCAGGGGAGCATGAGTCTGGGGTCGCGGGTGTGCCGCTTGAGGGTGCCGGCTGCGTGTGGCCGGCACCTGGCACGTGGGTCGCGCCAGGTGGGCGCGCACACCTGGCAGATTGGCGCCCAGGGGCTCAGAGAGAAGGGAGGTCCCTTCTGCAAGGTCGCGCGGGCGGCCGACAGCAGAAGGGAAGGGAGGCGTGGCCGTGCACCCCGACCGCACCATTTTAGCCCGGGAGGGCGGTCCCGGGGAGTGACCTTAGTTCACCGGAGGCCGGCCATGAGCAGCCTCTTCTGCGGACCCCGTAGGGAGCGCAGGGTTGTCGGGCCCGCGCACGGGGTGCCAGAAAGGGACGCTCAAGAGGGGAAGGGGTCCCACGCTCGAGGGACCGGAACCCAGATCCGAGGCACGGAGACTTCGAGTCTCTGTGCCTCAGTTTACCCCTCCGGCTGACGGGCAGCCGCGGCCCCGGCGCAGCTCACGTCATGGAACGGAGGCCTGACCTGGCCGCGGCTCCGGGCTAAGTTTAGAGCAGGAGGACAAACAGCCTCCCCCAACCCCCGCCCCGCCCCGCCGAGAAAATGCAGGCTCGCCCCTTAACCCGCTGTTGGGTCCAGAGCGAGAGACGCGGCAGCGCGAGTGACCATTCTGAGCACCTGGGCGCAGACGGGCGGAGGCCGAAGACCGTCCGGGGGAGAACAGTGGGTTTCATGGAGGGTTTTTCTGGGGCCAGTAAGTTGGCCAGAACGGCCGCCTGTAATTACTTCTTTTTTTTTTTTTGTGAGACAGAGTCTCACTCGTTTGCCGCGGCTAGATGAGTGCCCGTGCTCGCCTCGCTCACAGCAACTCCAGAATCCCTGCCTCAAGCGATCCTCCTGCCTCGCCTCCCGAGTAGCTGCGACTAAGGCATGCCCACCCCCCGGCTCATTTTTTTTTCCTATATGTATAGTTGGCCAATTAATTTCTTCTATTTATAGTAGGAGACGGGGTCTCACTCTTCTCAGGCTGGTCTCGAACTCCTGACCTTGAGCAATCCTCCCCTCGGCCTCCCCAGAGTGCCAGGATGACAGGCGTGCCGCCCCGCCCTGCCGCAAGCCTACGTTTTTGCATTAACCTCATCCTGTCCTACACGTATTTTCCGGTCCCCACCTGGGACAAAAACCGCTCCGCGCCCGGGATGGGATTCGAACACCGCGCCGCCGCGCCTGGCTCCGTTTCCCTATTGTCCACAGGCGCGCTTGCCTTGAGCCTTTGGGGAGAGGCGAGAGAGGGCGGGGGCGCGCCCGCAGCCCTCCCCCCGACCCTCCCCCTCCGGCAGGGTGGTTTGGGGGGTCCGTCGGTCCGCAAGGCCGCTGCAGTCCCCCGGGGCCGCGGCAGGGCAGGTCCGGGACGCCCCGCCCCTGGCGCTCCCGGCTGGGAGCCTCGGAACCCCCGGGAGCCGAAAGACGCACGAACACCCCCGAGTGTAGCCGGACTCAGCCGAGGAGGCCCGATCCCGGCCCGAGCGCGCCCCGGACGTGCCCGAAGGAGGCCGAGCGCGGCCGACGGGGCGAGCGCGCAGGCTCGGCTGCTCCGAACCGTCCGAGCGCAGCGGCGCGGGCCGAGCCAGCCGAACTCTCCCGGCCGAGCGCCAGGACCACGTCCAACTCCGAAGAGGCCCTGGACGGGCGGGGCCTGGACAGCCGGGGCGGGGCCAGGTGTCCCTGAAGGCGGGACCTGGACAGTCAGGGCCGGGCCTGGGGCGGGGCCAGGTGTCCCTGGAGGCGGGGCCTGGAGCCCGGCGGGGTCTGACGACCGGAGGGGCCTGGATGGCGGGGCGGGCCAGGTGTCCCTGGAGGCGTGGCCACGCCGGTGCGGTGGCACCTCTCTGCCGGAGGTGGACGTGGGCGGGCAGGAGGGGAGAGTGGCGAGGCCGGGGCGGTGGCGGGGTGCAGGCAATCTGGGGGTGTGGCCCACGGCCCTGGCGCAGGGCGGGGCCTGGACGCCCAGGGGCGTGGCCACGTGTCCCAGGAGGCGGGGCCTGGACCACCGGGGGCGGGGCCAGGTGTCCCTGGAGGCGTGGCCACGCCAGGTGCGGTGGCACCTGTCTGGGTACTAAGGAGCCGGAGAGCGCGGGGCAGGCCCTCGCCTCCGTCCAGGTGGAAGAGCCCGAGAAGCTGCTTCCAGCCCCCGTGTCCGCCATGCGAGCGAGGTCTCAGTTTACCCCTTTGTAATATGGGCGCCCAGTGGCGGTCCTCGGACGTTGCCCTGTGACCCCCTGAGACAGTCCCGCGATGGGCCCCGCCCCGCCCATCTTAGCTAGAGACGGGATGCCTGAGGTCCGGCGCCAGGGGCTACCTGTGTGTGGCCAAGCGCCCACCGTGGGGCCGATCGGGACCTCAGGCCCTAGAGTCCAGAGTCGCCCCAAGTGGGGAGGGACTCGCGGGTACAGGTGCGGGGCCAGCGCGTGACAGGTGCAGCGTCCCCGGGAGGGCACGGCCGCGGGGGCCAGATGGGCAAGCCGGGGGCGACTGCCAGCACGCTCGTCCCTGACCAGGCCCCCTCTGCCTTCAGCTTTGACCTGGAAAATGGGCTCCCGGGCGGGAGAAGCACCCTGGACCCTCCGGCCGGGCCGGGCCTGGGCCGGGCCCCGCAGGCCCCCGCCCCGCACAGCCAGCGGCGCGAGTCCTTCCTGTACCGCTCGGACAGCGACTATGAACTCTCGCCCAAGGCCGTGTCCCGGAACTCCTCCGCGGCCAGCGACCTGTGAGTTTGGGGCCCGCGGGGCGACGCCTTGACCCTCTGTCCTTCGTTTCTTTTTCTATTCAGCAAACCCCCTCGAGTGGCCATGCGAGCTGGGTTTTGAGGTTTAAGTAGGAGTTTGCCACAGGGCGCAGCTCATTTACTCAGTGAGTGTGCTGCGAAAAGGGTATCAGGTGATCTTCTGTGCTTGGTCCAATGCTGGGGTGAGGTCGGGGTAGTAATCCAGAAACATTAAGGTCAATTAGCAGCGACTGAGCAAACACATTGATTTGAGCTTCCTGGTGGCCATGATGAAAAGGGAAATACAATAGTTTCTGTCCTGACTCTACTGAGACCCCTGCTACCCCGAGGATGGTTCTCCCGTGTATGGGAGGCAGATAAAGTGAGTGGCCGGTCCGAGGGGCCGTGGTAGCTCCCGGGGAGAGTTGGCGGGGGTGGGGGGGAGGCCAAGGACCAGGAGGGTACCGGGAGGGCACGCCCGCGGCTGAGGGCACGGCGTGGGCAAAACCTGGAAGACGCGAAGGCGCAGGCGCCCTCCCGGCCACCCTCCCTCACAGGCCACCTCCCTGCAGACACGGAGAAGACATGATTGTCACGCCGTTTGCCCAGGTGGGTGCCCGCCCTTGCCAGCCCCCTGGAGCCGAGCGGGCGGGACCGGCATGTCCGTCCCAGCCCCGCCGCCCGGCTCCCGACAGGTGCTGGCCAGTCTGCGGACGGTCCGGAGCAACGTGGCGGCCCTGGCCCACCTGCAAGGCCGCGGGACAGCCAGGTAGGCGGAGGGCGGGGCGGGGCCAGAGTGGGCGGGGCGGAGGCAGGGCCTGGCCGAAAAGGGGGCGGCAAGCTGGGCTGGGGCTCTGGCGCCTTGAGGTTGGGGTGCGGGGCGAGGCCTGGGGGCTTGGGGGCGGGGCCAGGTGGCGGCAGCGGGGGGCGAGGCATGGGGGCTTGGGGGCGGGGCCGAGTGGGCGAGGCCTGAGGGGCTTGGGGATGGGCCAGGCGGGGCAACCGGGTGGGCGGGCAGGTGAAGGGGGCGAGGCTGGCCGGGTGGGGCCTGGAGGGTTAGGTGGTGCCAGGTTGGGGCGTGCTGGGTGGGGCAAGCGCTGAAGGGCTTGGGGCAGGGCTGGGGTGAGGCCTGGGGGAGCTTGGGCAGGCCTGGTGGGCGGGGCGAGGCCGGTGGCGAGGCCTGAGGGGCTTGGGGCAGCCAGGTGGTAGGCCAGGTCGTGGGGGGTGGGTTTGGGTGGGCGCGGGGGCGGGGGGGGCAGGTGAAGGGGGGCGCTGGGGCGCGAGCGCAGGTGGGCGGCCAGGTGGGCGGTGGGTCCATGTGGGCGGTGCTGGGTGGGGGGCAGGGCGGGGCCCGGTGGCGAGCCTGAGGGCTTGGGGGCGTGGCCGGGTGGGCGGGGTGAGGCCTGGTAGGCGGGGTGAGGCTGGGTGGGCGAGGCCTGAGGGGCTGGGGCGGGCCGGGTGGGCGGGTGAGGCCTGGTAGGCGGGTGAGCTGGGTGGGCGAGGCCTGAGGGGCTTGGGGCGGGGCGGGCCGCCCCTGAGCCTCGGTACCCCAGGCAGGCGCCGGCCGTGGACCCTGCACACGCTGCACCCACAGGTACGGCACCCCCCCCCCCCTCCCCCCTCCCCCCCAGGGACAGCGGCCACCTCCCCTCCTATAGCGGCGGCGCCCACCCTCGAGTCCCCAAGCTGCGGCTGACTGTGGCCTGGCCCGCCGGCCCCGAAAGGGCCCCAGGGGCTGAGTCCACCACTACCCGGGGCGGGAAGGCCCAGGGACAGACAGAGACCCGCCCACGGCCACGCAGCGGCCGCCCGGGGACAGGTCCGGAACTGGGGGTCCTGGGGTCCCAGCGGGAGAGGCTCAGGGTCCGGGCGCAGAGACGGAGGCGCGAAGGGCACAGGGGCCCCCAGCGGGGCCGGGCCCGGCCCTGACCAGCTCGCCTCCCAGAGGGGCGCGGGCCCGCGCTGGCGCTGGAGACGCTGGGCGAGCTGGACTGGTGCCTGGACCAGCTGGAGACGCTGCAGGCGCGGCACTCGGTGGGCGCGATGGCCTCCAGCAAGGTGAGGGCCGCGCGGCCCGCCGCCCCCGCCGCTCGCGGTGGCCCCGGCCTCACCCCCGCGCCTCCCGCCTCCCCCAGTTCAAGCGGATGCTGAGCCGGGAGTTGACCCACCTCTCTGAAACCAGCCGCTCCGGGAACCAGGTGTCCGAGTACATCTCCCGCACCTTCCTGGGTGAGCCGTGTGTGTCGCGTTGCCTGGGCAACGTCACAGAGGTAGCGAGACGGGAGAGAGAGGAAAGACTTCTATTTCAGAGCTGATAATGGGGTAATTTGATCAGGGTATTGAAGGATGAATAGGAGTCCACCGGCTTAAACAATTCGCTGTCAACAAGCCTCAGCCCTGGGCCTGGCCCTGAAAAGACCCAGTCTGGAGAGAACAGCTGGACAAAGACAGCCCCAGTCCCGTGGGGTCAGGACTGAGGGAGTCAGAAAGAGAGCAGGGAGGTGGTCCCAGACACAGGAGGGGGCAATGAGTCTTGGGGGAGACAGGGCCGGACATGGACACCCCTAGCCCCATGCATGAAGGGTGGATTGGAGGCAGGAACAAGGGAAACTTCCAGGAGGAGGGGACATTAAAGCTAAGGTTTTGAAGCACGAGTAGAAGTTTGCCAAGGAGGAGATGGAACCAGACGCCAGTGTGGGAGGTGGAAAGGACGCCAGGCTGTCTGGGGGACAAATGCTCTTGGGTCCCCGGTGCCCGAGAGCCAGGCCGAGCAGAAGAGGAAGATAGGTCGGTCCTGGGGGGCCAGGCGGGACGACCCCGAGAGCAAGCTGGCTCCTCTGAGCTCCGAGCCTCACCCTGCCCCGCAGACCAGCCGGCCGAGGTGGAGTTGCCCTGTCGGCGTTCGGGGGCGTGTTGGCACGCCTTCTGAACTGCAGCCTTCCCTGGGGTCTTGGGGTAGGCGGGGGTCCGGCAGGCCGGTGGCCTGGACGCTCAGGGCAGGGGCCGGGTCCTGCAGCTGCTGCTATGCCTGGCGGTGCTGCGGTTCCCCGCTGCGCTCCGTTTTCGACTCGCGCCCTTTCTTTCGGGTGCTGTTTCCGGCTCTTCGGGGGCGGCGGGCCGGCGGCGGCTTGGGCTCCACGCCTGCCCTGCCTGCGCGCGCCCGCGCCCGCCCGGCAAACTGCGGCCCAGGCCAGGCCGGGCCCCACCCAGAGCCGGGCTCGGCGCTTGTGGGCTGGGGACCCACCTTGCAGCTGCTCCTGGTCGTCTGGAGCCCCGAACCGGGGGAGCGGCGTGGCTGGGGAGAGGCTGGCGCGCGGCGCGCCACGCAACGCTGATCGGCGGACTGGGCCCCGGCCGGCTCCTCCGCGGTCGACCGCACTT